ATTGGTCCTTTGAACTGCCATTTAGCACTGACTTCCAAGGCCAATGTGGTAGTAGTTTAAAAATAAGTCTTCTGAAATCACCTGCAACATACTACTTTGTCTAGCTCCAGTACCTAAGGAGACATGCCTGCAAATTATAAGAATAATACAAAGTCAAGACAAACAGGCTAACTTCTTTATCCCACAAGTTAAAAAACTCCCCAATGCTCAGGCTCTTTTTTTTTTAATTATTACTATGATTTGGGTAGAAGTTTACAGAGCAAATTCTCTTTCCATACAGCAGTTCACATACACTTTTGTCTCATGACATTGACTACAATTTACCACAATGCAGCTCCCCTCCCACTTCTCCCCATAGTTATCTCTTCCCTGTGTCCAACCCTCTATGTACTCCTGCCCCCTGAGCTATGTCCCTGTGCATAGACAGCCCTTCTATTCTCTCATGATTTTCTCTCCAAGGAGTGTATCTGTTGTTGTTATGTGCTGTCAAGTTGGGCCCGACTCATAGCGACCCCTCATTGGGTTTCCGAGGCAGTATCACTACGGAAGTAGATTGTCCCATCTTCCTTTCGAGGAGTGGCTGGTGGGTTTGAACCACCAGCCTTTTGGTTAGCAGTCAAGTATCTTAGGCACTATGCTACCAGATCTCCCTAGGAGTGTGTCTACCTACTGTAAATGTTCACCTCATTTGCCTGTCTTTTGTTTGACTGGAAGACACAGGTGTGGGTTCAATTCCAGACTTGAAAGGGGCCATAATCTCAGTGGTTCCACCAGGCTCAAACTTGGTCCCCCCCTTTTTTTTTTTCCAAATGATTTTGAGTTTTGTTCTACATTGTTCTCCCACTCTATCAGGCTTTTTTAAGACAAGAAACAAAGGCACATAAACAAACAAACGCCCTTCTCAGCAACATTTGGTTGTTTTCCCTCTGATATGACAGTGGGTTGAAGGTGAGAGCAAGTAGCAGGCCCTGATTGCACAAGGACACATACCCAGCACACAACACAGAGATCAGGAATGGGCCCCAGAAGGGCTGATTCTCTTATCTTTCTGCACAGAGGCCTTCTACAAAGCCCTTGTCCAGAAAGCTATCTGGGCCTTGGATTCCAAACAAAAACAAAACCATGTTCCCAGGGCTGCTGGTTTTCATGACTTCCTGGTAGATTTTGAGATTAAAACTTGTAATGGAAATTCTTTAACCTTTATTGAGCTAATATGTTCTTCTATTAAATACTGTTTAAAATTGATCCTTTAGCCCCAAATCCATTAAATGGGGAAGAGAATGTTTGTTTAATAAATGGTGCTGGCAAAACTGGAGATCCATTTGC